AGGCAGGGGTTTGTTGAATTGCACACTTAGAACAAAACCTGTAAGAAAGTAAGAAAACAAGACTGGGCAGAGGAAGCAGTTGAAGTGTGATGAAGTTGCCACAGAGGTCTTGGCTGATTTGGGGGCGGGAGCGGTAAAATGGGTGGGGGGTGTAGTTCTGAATCTGACATGACCCTTCAGAGTGGTTCTGAATTAAAGAAAGAAGGTCAGGTCTTTGTACCCCCCCACACTGACCAGTCACTAGATACAAACTGCCTTAGGGTAAAGTCTGTGACCCAGGATGAGGTAGCTCCCTTCAGCCAAGGGCAAGTCCTTGCCAGGAACTCAGCTATGGGTTGTCAAGAGCCAACAGCTCTGGGCAGCTGAAGAAGGAGTGCTTCAGTCCTAGACGGGGGCCTGGGTGGTAAATCACAGCATCTGCTCAGAACCCAGAGAAGTCTGAGTGAGTGAGAGATAATGAGGTATAAACTATTGTGGTGTTCATGTGGAAGAAAGAGTAGATAGATGAGGGAGAATACAGGAGGTAGAGCAGACACCAGCTGTGGGAAGAGGGAGAGGGACAAGTCAGAGTTCCCTCCCTAAACCCTGCCTTGGACACTTGAGCAGATGCCAGGCCATTGGCTGAGGAAGGAAGCCCAGGAGAGAAGTAGGTTATTGGCAAGAAGAGGATGGAGGCAGAAATTATAAATTCAATGTTGCCTATGTTGAGTGTGAGATACCTGTAGGATATAACAACATTCACTGAGCACTTGTGACGTCCATGTTCTAAGCTACGCACCTTATATACATCAACTCATTGAATTCCTATATAGGTATTCTTCTATGAGGAAACTAGTCTTATTCCTATTCTTGTCCTGAAGCACACGGGTTTTCAAAGTGGTAAATCACCTGGCCCAAGTCACTCAGTAGAGCTTATATTTGAACCCAAGTCTCTTTTGCTCAGTTCCTACAGGAGTCCTCTCCACACCTTCCTACAGATGAAGAGAAGGGCAGGAATCTGATCTAGAGAGATAATGGTTGGCATCATCATTGCATAGATGATAATTAAAGCCACAAGATTAGGTGAAACTAGTTAGCGATATTTACAATAGCAATATTATTTGCTAACATGTGCCAAGTATTCCCCATGTGCCAGGATATCTTCTAAATGCTCTACGTTATTTAAACCTAAGCAATCTTGTAAGATGAGGCCTAGGCTCCCAGGGCTGCGTTAACGAAGTTCCACAAACCTCATGGTTTACACAAATGTTTTGTCACACAGTTCTGGAAGCCAGGCATCTGAGATACCAGCTGAAGCAGTAGAAGCAGAGGCAGAGGGAAGTTGAGTTTTCATGGCATCAAAGGAAACCAGGATGCATGGGACAAGCAAGAGCACCTAGCCGTGAGAGCCACACTGGATCCTGCATTTGGCGCTCTAGTTGTTGGACCATCGACTACATTCCGGTTTCTGAGATGTATGATTGTTCCTCCCTGAGTTCTGACGGTGAGGTCAAGGTTCCCACCCACGCTCATATTCACACTTATCGTTACATTAAACGCTCATTTCACTTCTGTTTCTTATAACCTTAAAATAATCCGACTCAAGCACCCAGAGAGGGAGAGGGAAAGAAATGAATTGAATGCCACATCATGGAAGCTAATGCAAAAGAATGATTTGAGAAGGAAATGGTCAATTGTATTACATGTTACAGAAAGATCAAGCAAAACAAGGACTTTAAAACTAACAGGTTTGCTAACAAAAAATGCGAGAGCTGGGTGAGTGGCAACAGAAGCCAGGCTGCCGCAGATGATGACAGAAATGGGAGGTAAGACCAGAAAGACAGCCATAGAAACCACACTTTCAAGTGGCTCGACTGTGAAGAAAGAGAGGGAAGTGAGGCCCTACCCAGAAGCTGTTGCAGAGTAGAAGGACTGATTTAAGATGAACACATTTGAATGCAGAGGGAAAGGAGCCATATGAACATGAGGTTGAAGAGAGGACAACTGAAGGGATGAAGTTGCTTGGATGCAAGCGGCCGGGGGCAGGAAAGAGCCCAAGGCAGGAAGAGGGAAGGAGGCAATGAGGGGTGTGCACACATAGCAGGCTATTTTAGGATCTGATATTGAAGATATTTCCTGTAATGGCTTCTATTTTGTGGGTGAAATAGGAGACAAGATTATCTGCTGACAGTGAAGAAAGAGACAGGTTAAGAGCCTTGAGGAAGAGAAGATTTTCGTGAGTCATTTCAGAAAATGGCAGTGAGCTCTAAGTGGAACACTGTGGAGGATTACCAGTTAGTACCTCTGTAATGTGAGGTGAGACCAAAAGACCTGAGTTTGGCATGCCCACCTGTGATTCCCTCCAGTCTCATCGGGTGGGGCAGGAAAAGCAGCAGAAACATTGTTAGTTGGGATTAATTGAAACCTGAGGGGAGAGGGGCAAGGGCACAAGGAGTTCAAGGTGTTGGGAAAAGAATGATTGAAGAAAGGAACCAGAGGATCTCTGCTGACCCCAGATGCCAAGGCTAGTAGGGAGAAAAATAGGAGAACCAAGGAGACTCAAAGAACAACTGTGTGGGGGTAAGAGATGGAGGTCTGCAATGGTAAGAGTTTATGGAGATTTGAAGATTTCAGAGGTGGAGAAATTGTAGGTGATTAGAAGACTCTAAATTGGACCATGTGTCATAGACCTGTGTTGTGTGCCTGTCCAGCTTCTCTTCTTTTGGGGAGTTTTCCTTCTGTCATTACATGTGCTTTTGGTTGAACAGATCACCCTGGAACCTCACCCCACCCCACCTCTGCTACAGGAGTTGGCATGGGATGATGCAGGCCAATGAGTTCATCCCCTGCCTAAAGTGCTTGGTTGAGATATGAGTACATGACCAAGAAGAGATGATCAGACTCTTCTTTCCTGACATTCTTTCCCTGAATGTTGGAGGCAGAGTTCTCATTTTCTCAGCTATGAGTTGTAAAGATCACGTAGCTGCTTGTGGCCATCTTTCCAGCAGCATGGAGGAACCACCTCCAGAAGGAGAAAATGAGACCAACATGCAAAGACAAGCAAATTAAGGAGAAATGAAAGACGGGTAGAAGCGAGAAGAATCCAAATAACAATTTTAAATCACTGGATCTAACCATGCTGAAGCTAGTCTACCCTAAATCTTTCAAATGAGCCCCCCCACCACCAAATTCTCTTTGGGTGAAGTTCGTCTAAATATAATTTTTTAAAGATTTTATTTATTTATTTTTGAGAGAGAGAGCACAAACAGGGTGTGGGGGAGGAGCAGAGAGAGAAGCAGACTTCCCACTGAGCAGGGAGCCTGATGCAGGACTCGATCCCAAGACTCTGGAATCATGACCTGTGCTGAAGGCAGATGCTTAACCAACTGAGCCACCCAGGCACCCCAACTGAAGGTGGTCTAAATTGAATTACTATAAACCGCAATCTAAGGTTTAAGTAGCTGAAACTAAAGGAGGTAAATGTATGGGGGTCAAGAAGGCCAAGAAACTAAAGATAGGGTGTTGTATGAGTTTTCCTTATGGGCACTAAAGTCATCCAAGATGAAGGCAGTACTTAACAGGGTGGAGAAGACGCCTATGAACCATCTGCAATAGTCTTAAGTAGGAAGAACAGACAGGATGTTAGTAGGTAACTGCAATGAAGACCAGAAGAAAGTTATGTATCTGTTAACAGGAGCCTCAAATGAGCGATGGTTTTTATACAAAGGTGCAGGCATAAAGGTGTGGAGGCTGCATAGGGGAGAGAGAAGCATCCAGACCCCACTTACTGATGAGAAGCTAAGTGGAGTTGTGCAATAATGTGGATAAGATCGTTACTGCATAGAGCGGGCAGAGCCTTCCCGATCCAAGGTTATATAACCATGAAATGCTTCCCAGTGAAGAATAAACTCCACTTCTAAGTCCTAAGTATTATTACAATATAAATAATGGAGACACCACTTAACCACTTTTCAGCCCATCACCTCTTGACCTTGAATCACTCACGTTTATCAGTAAGACAAAACTACAAGGTAGAACTGAAAATTTAGATGGCTCAGGCTTCTTTTTTCTTCCTAATTGAGATGTTTTATGCATACATTTAAATGTCTCAATGACCAGAATAATAATCTCAAAGGTAATTATCATTCAAGTGTATTTGGTAGAAGAGTTGGTATTAAATATTTTAAAGGCCTATTTAGAAAATCTCATCAATCTAACACATTTTATTGGACAACATAAAATATACATGGGTATTATGGAAGAACAAAAATCTAACACAAAAATGTGAGCCTGGGTTGCCAATTCTAGAAGGAATGCCACAGAGGGAAAGCTAACGATCAACTGGCATTTCAACAAGGAGAGAAATGGCTTTATTAAGGGATTTCAATTTGTCCGAATGACAAATAGTTACTGTGTCTATGGGCTATATATATAAACAGAACTTCTTTTTCTTATGCGTGTGTAGTCTTTCCACCAGAAATGGAAACATATTATTATGCCAGTTCATGGTTTTAAAGTGATGCTGTTAAAAGTATCTCTGAATAGCGTCGAAAATGAAATTTACAGAGAAAATAAGTGAAGTTCATTAAAGATTGTATTTGGAGAATGAAAACAGAGGGAAGGTATAAAAACAATTCCTCCATCTCTAAACACCCTCCACCTTTCCATGGCATGGATGAAACACAGCCACTCAGCAATTCAGTCCTCTAGAGACCCAACCGGTAAAGTCGCCTCTACCTCTCTGGGTGAGTGTGGGTCCAGACCAGTAGCCATTGCATCTTTGGAGTGGGGTGGCGGGGAGGGATCTCCAGAGACCACAGGCCTTCTGCTGGGAAAATACAAGGCCAAGTCTCCTGCCTGTTGCAGCCCTAGCTCATGTCCTCAGTCATGGCTGTGCAGGTATATTTAATCAGTCACAAATGCTACTTCATACTGTCCTTGCACATGAGGGAAAAAGCCAGGCAACCCTGACCATTCCCCAGGGGACATCCTTAGTCATTCTCCCTCTGTGTGATCTCCTTTAATTAGGCACCAATGCTTTTTTTCAGACATACTTTCATATGGCGAAAATAAGATAATCACCCAAAAAAGTAAAAGTTTTTCTCAATAAAGCTAAGAATATGGTTTCCTGAAAAATACTTGTGAAACAGAAATTTAAAAAGAAGGCAGAAAGGGATGGGAATTTGTAATAAAACCCTGATCCTAAAAAAGTACTCTTGTTGTCAGTACACGTGATATATTGGTGAGTAAACCTGGGCAGGATTTCTTCATCTTATAGGTTTCACATTAAAGGTTTCACTTTTAAAGGACTGAGACCAACCCTGTTCAAACATGAAAAATTACCACCAAATATAATCTGGCAGCAACATTTAAAACCGGTTGGTTTCTCATAGGACCTCAGACCTATGTATGTTTTATCCAAATAATTAGTTATAATGCTTTTTAAAGAAATCATATGCGTGACACTCATGAATCTCAGTCACTTTTTGGACTTGATTGAATGTATGAATGTTTGCCTTCCTTTATGGGGGCAAATTTCACCAGGATCACAGGATTTCAGGAGAAACTGGAGGAGTATAGAGTAGCAGAGAAGGCACAGCCTTTGATCAAGGGCCAACGTGGTAAGGCTGCTGGTTCAATCACTAACCAACTACAATCTTGGGTAGGTAACACCCTCTCTGAGCCTCAGAGAGGTTGTAAAATAAAACATTAAAGCTTCTCCACGTGACCATTATGAGAATTAAATTGGGTAGTAAAGCCCCTGACTCATAAAAAAAGAATCCCATAAATGTTAATCCCCTACCGCCCATTGCCCATTCTAGATATGCAATCTACTGGACTTCTTCCGGGTCCCAAAGTGCTAGCAAATAAAATAATAGCTGTTCTTAGTGTCAAACATTAACCTACAGCTGGCACCTCTGAGATCCTTTTTTGCAAATGATGGATTTGCACGCGCGCGGTCATCGAACTACATGGTATTCACACACTGATCAATGTCAAAGGCTTGGGGAATTTGTGAAATTGACAGTTGTGTCCCATCTCTTAGCTCCACCTCCCCCAAGAGAGATGGTATTCAATGAAGGAGTTTTAAGTGACTCTGTGGGTGCCTATCTCCCCCGGGCGTCACATCTTTGAGGCAGGCACAGGTAACAAAGTGATGCTGATGTGAATGGATCAGTCTTTCAAGACATTTGATGATTTCATAGTCTGGAAGCGCAAGACTGGTCATGTTCAAGCCCAGCATCTGGGAAACCACCTCCCTGAAGTCCACCAGCTGTAATATCAAACACACACACGAAGGGTGAGAACAAAATGTATCAACTACTGCTAGTCCAAATGCAACCAAACAAACAAACAAAAAAACCCGTGGAAAGCCCAGGTGTGCATGAGGTAGGCAAATCACTTACTGTCTTTAACCTCAGTCCTCTCGCTTATAAAACAGAAAGGTGCCATCTACTAAATTACCTCTAACATGCCTTCATCCCCAACTTTCGGTGATTTCATAACCTCTTTTCTGATGAGTCAATTAGTGTGGCATTGGCTATGAAGTGAAGAATCTCAGTAGGCAACCATGAATGAGACCCTGACCTAAGACTCCGTGTTCTCACTTCCCAGTGGGAATAACCATACACCTACTTCTCAGAGCTGTTCTGAAATTTGGATCCAATGAGACAATGACTGTGTATGTGTTCCATATACTAAGAAGTGCTTTACAAAGGTGTGGTTGTACCCATGGGTGATAAGTACTTACCCACTGGAATTTTAACTGAGCATGGAAACTTTTTTTTTAAGATTTTATTTACTGGGCGCCTGGGTGGCTCAGTTGGTTAAGCAACTGCCTTCGGCTCAGGTCATGATCCTAGAGTCCCGGGATCGAGTCCCACATCGGGCTCCCTGCTCAGCAGGGAGTCTGCTTCTCCCTCTGACCCTCTCCCCTCTCATGCTCTCTCTCTATCTCACTCTCTCTCTCAAATAAATAAATAAACATCTTTAAAAAATAAATCTATAAAAAAAAGATTTTATTTATTTATTTATTTGAGAGAGAGAGAGAGAGAGAGAGAGAGAGTGTGTGTGTGTGTGTGTGTGTGATGGGGGTTGCTGAGGGAGAGGGAGAGAGAATCTCAAGCAGACTCCATGCTGATCGTGGAGCCCAACGTGGGGCTCGATCTCACGACCCTGAGATCATGACCTGAGCCGAAACCAAGAGTCAGGCACTTACCTGACTGAGCCACCCATGCGCCCCTGGGCATGGAAACTCTTAAGCTAAAGGAAGAACAAAGGGCAAGAAAGTATGAGCTGATAAAAACAAGAAGGACTGCTAAAAAAATGACCAGATCACATCACATGACAGCCTCCTTCACAACCCATAACGGCAGACTCTCTGGGACTACTCTCTGCCATCACAATAGGAAAAATGGAGAGGTGGGGAGGTTGAAGACCATGGATGCAAATGTGCCTCAGACCCCTTAAATTCTTGTACGCTGGTTGCTGTGATTCTGCGCTAGAGCAGAAGCAGGTAAGTCAGGGCTATCTGGGAAGCCCCTTGCTAGAAGTACCTTCCATTTTGGAAAGATGTGACCCAATAGACATTGCCTCCAGGAAGAGTGCCTTCCAAACATTCTCACCCGGTCTTCCTTCACTTCCCAACCTCCTTCCCATGCTGAGTCCCGTTTAGGGGAACACAACACTCTCTCCAGCCTAGTGTCCCTGATGAAAAAGTTCCCCTCAAACTTTTCTCGCCTTTCACATATGGTCAAGGCTCTTCATTCCTGAGAGGTTTCCCTCTGAGAACACATACTTTATAGTTTGGCCTTCCTCAACGTTGCCTGACACATGAGCCAAAGCAGAGGCAGCCGAAGAGGAAAAAAAAAAAAGAAAATCCTAAGATCAGAGTCCACTCTCTGCCCTTTTGAGCTTCAGCAAGAGAGGGAGATGAAAGCCAAAAGCAATGGGGGTCAGGCTGCCCGGGACAGTTTCTTTATGCTTGACCTCCTGATGTGCTCACCAGATAAAACTCTCCTCCTTACAACCAGTCAGCAAGTGAGTACGGTTTATGGCTTACATCTGGGCAAGGTTGACCATCGAGTCTGGGTGCCACTGTTTGAGAGTTGGGACAGTTTCCTGACACTGATCTCTGCTGAAGATAAGCTTTCCCTCCTGAGGTTGAAGCCTGGGATGATGCAAACTTCAGAGGCAATCAGTGAACATAATCAAAACCTCTCCACAACCAGAACCTGGCTTTCCACAGCCTTTCCACTGCTTTGATGAGAAGGTCTTTTTCTTTCCTACGATTCGTGCCATCAAACTGTGAATTATTTTTCTTAGCAGAGTAAATCATAATGGTCATTTTAATTCCAGAAAGATGTTAGAGGGCAAGCAGATACATTGAAACGATAAAGAAAGCTTTGTAAATTGTTTTTGAAGAAACGTATGAAAAATTATCAAGCTTTTGAATTGTCCCATCTTTTCCTAAACAAGATTTCACCCCCAGATTTCTACCCACCTGCTTTTCTCTTGTTTCTGCTTCTTCCAGACATTTTTTTAGTGTCTTCATTTCGTTGGTTACCACTTCCATTATCTTCCTGGCCCCCTCTTTATCCTCCTGAGTCTCAAGCTCTGCAGTACCCAGTTCTGACTTGACAGACATTAGCTTTTCCTCAGCTTTCTCCTTCATCTTCTCAAGTTTGTCTTTGGACTTATTTAGGTCTTCAGTGGCTTTGGTCTGTTCCAAAGTTTTAATCTATGAAGTCAAGAGAACGCTAATAATTTCTTTCGTATTTGTTTTGGACAATTGTATTAACAAGATAAACTAGAAGTCAATGAAATTCACTTAATAACTTTTTTATAAATAAAGAATGGAATCCATCCCAGTTATACAGACTTTGCTAAGCATACACGCTGGACAAACATACCTTAAGGCAGTGACAGTTTATAAACATGTCAGAGTACCATTATTTGGAAAATCAACGAGACAAATGGTAGATAGCACAATTCTAGGGTTAAATATTAAAATAAAGTCTGCTGGTAGTTACACACAGACTCTAATGAACTCCATTGGCAAAAGCAATTTGCACTTTGGGCCCTACAAAAGGGTCGTCCCCAGCATAGAAACACTAGGAAAAGTAAAATATCGCCTCTGTCAGTGGTCTATGACAAGGGAGCCCAACTAAAATCCCCATAGTAAGTCTTCATTACTGCCATAAGGAAAATCTAGAACAGCAATATTTCAGAAGAAATGCCTTCTGACTTAACCAATGAGTATGGGAGGCATGAGGTGCCCATAGCATTCCACTACAAACAAGAGGAAAGGGATGGGGGTGCCTCTCTCTAGGAAGCAGTCCCAGGATCTTAAAGTCAACACAAAGAGCATCCTGGAGCGTAAGGCACATTTTCTTTATTAGCTTAGTATTTAAAATTTTGCCAGATCTGCTTCCAAAAAAGAATTTGAAATAAAAAACTAATGATGTAATGTATGGTGATTAACATAATAAAATAAAATTTTTTTAAAAAGTTTGAAATTCTGACAAATACTATAACATGGATGAACTTTAGACATTACAACAAATAAGATAAGCCAGACACAAAAGGATAGATATTGCATAATTCCATTGATAAGGAGGTACGTAGGATAGGCTAATTCATTATAGAATTCCATCCCCAAGGGAGGAATGGGGAGTTATTTAATGGGCACTGAGTTTTGGTTTAGGATGATAAAAAGTTCTGGAAATGGATGGTGGTGATGGTTGTACAACTTTGTGAACGTACTTAATGCCACTGAATTGTACAATTAAAAATGGCTCAAATGGTAACTTTTATGTTATGGATATTTTACCACATTAAAAAAAAAGAGTTGGGGGCGCCTGGGTGGCTCAGTTGGTTAAGCGACTGCCTTCGGCTCAGGTCATGATCCTGGAGTCCCGGGATCGAGTCCCGCATCGGGCTCCCCGCTCAGTGGGGAGAGTCTGCTTCTCCCTCTGACCCTCTTCCCTCTCGTGCTCTCTATCTCTCATTCTCTCTCTCTCAAATAAATAAACAAAATTTAAAAAAATAAATAAATAAATAAAATAAATAAATAAAAAAAAGAGTTGGAGGTAGTTTTACATACTTGACACAAAATTTTTAACATTGACCATTAAAAATAAATATGAACGAGCTACCATTTAACAACCTCAGGGATGGCTACAGTCAAAAAGAGAGACAGTCACAAGTGTTGGCGAGGGTGTAGAGAAATCAGAACCCTCACGTGCTGCTGGTGGGAGGTGGTGCAAAATGGTGCAGCTGTGAGAAACAGTTTTCCAGTTTTCAAAATGTTAAGCTCAGAGTTAACACATGAGCTAGCAATTCCACTTCTAGGTTTATATATTCAAGAGAACTGAAAACTTCTGTCACACAAAACCTGTCCACAAATGTTCACAGAAGGACTGTTCATAATCACCAAAAAGTAACAACAACCCAAATATCCATCAACCAATGAGTAGATAAATAAAATATTGTAGATCCATACAATGGAATGTTATTTGCCAATAAGAAGGAATGAAATACTGATACATGCTATGGATGAACCTTGAGAAAACTTCTGCTAAGGGAGAAAAGTCAAGTCACGAAAGACCACTTATTGTATTTTTCCATTCATATGAAAGATCTAGAAAAGGCCAGGGACTGGTGGGAAGGGAGACTGGGGAGTAACTGCCAATGGGTTGTTTTTAGGGGTGATGAAAATGTTCTGAAATTAGATAACGGAAATTTGCTTTCATCTACTATAACACACACAACTTCTGAGGAAATTTAGTTCCTTTTCCCACAGAGAGGAGGCCGGTGGCAGCCATGCCTGGACAAGTTCAAAGCTTTGAACTGGCTCCATGCAGGAGAAAGGAAATCCTCGGGAAACTGACAGCTGCTGTGGGACTTGCGATCAAGAAGGCATAAAAACCACCACCTCAGGTTTGAGAAATCCACGGGTGAGACAATGCCAACCACAGTTGAAGAAAGGAACTCGGAGTCAGTTTTTGAGCCAATGAAATGGCATTAGAAGACCCAGCACCTGAGCCAAGTTACTGCCACCCACTAAGTGCAGGTCTGCAGAGGCTGACCTTGCGGATCATTCATGGATTCCAGGTTATCAAAACCCATACTGGAAAATGAACAGCGTATCGGATACAGCATAATAGAGTATTGCCTCAACATTGCTTCCTGGGTGTGATGATGTACAGGTGTCACATTGAAGAATACTCTTGTTCTTAAGAGATACCTGGTATTTGGGGTGCCTGGGTGGCTCAGTTGGTTAAGCGACTGCCTTCGGCTCAGGTCATGATCCTGGAGTCCCAGGATCGAGTCCCGCATCGGGCTCCCTGCTCAGCAGGGAGTCTGCTTCTCCCTCTGACCCTCTTCCCTCTCATGCTCTCTCTCATTCTCTCTCTCTCAAATAAATAAATAAAATCTTTAAAAAAAAGAGAGAGAGCGCTACCTGGTATTTAGGGGTGACATGTCACAATGCATGTAACTTATTCTCAAATGGTTCAGAAAAAAAGAAAACCTCCTGCCCCCATTAGGCAAAACAGAGCAATTGGTAAAAATGTTATTATGCAAATCATTATGTGAAGAATAAAATACTGTCCATTATACTGTTCTTGCAACTGTTCTCTAGATTTGAAATTTTTCAAAACAAAAAGTCGGGAAAGGGAAATGTCCCACGCATGATCAATACAACGTGCATCCTCGGGCGCCTGGGTGGCTCAGATGGTTAAGCGTCTGCCTTCGGCTCAGGTCATGATCCCGCGGTCCCGGGATCGAGTCCCGCATCGGGCTCCCTGCTCCTTTGGAGTCTGCTTCTCCCTCTGCTTCTCTCTCTCTCTCTCTCTGTCTGTCATGAATAAATAAAATCTTTAAAAAAAAAAAAAATACAACGTGCATCCTCTCCGTAAACGTTTTTGAACACATACGTATACTTATTTATGAATTAGAAAAGCAGCTGCTCTAAATAATATAGTCTGTCGACTATCAAACTTATTACAAATTGGGGGACATGACACGAATGAAATGTTCATCAATTTTAAAACAAAGTTATCTCCTTTTAAAACAAAGAGATTCCCTTCATGTGCAAATTATCACATTGCTGCAGAGAGACTATGTGGCCAAGAGGGAATTTGCTGAGATTGGGACATTGAATTCAAAAGCTTGTATTAAAGGATACTTTCAGCCTTTCTGCTCAGATTGGAAAACCATTTACAGTGGGCTATCTACCAAAAGTGACGGAACACAGCTTGGAAAGCTAGAAATCCATAAATCAGGTCCTAATGAGAAGAATTCATAGCCAAAAATTTCTGAAAAGTATGAGACTTTATCACAATCCTAAAGGCTGCTTCAATTCTTGTTATTGGGGGGCAAAGGCAAGCCATGGAGCTCTGAGCCAAGCCACCAGAACAGAACTAAAAGCCAGGGGATGACAGAGACCTCGGGGTCCTAAATCAAACCCAACAAACGAGATTCCTGGAAGTGGGGTATGGCTAAGTGGGTTTCTTAATCCTCCGGAAGGAGCTTCCCGAATCCAGCCCAGAGTTCAGCAAGAGCCTGTGCTCCTAATGGTCTTCCAGTGGGGCAGAACTGGTCATCAACAAGACTGATGTGCCACCCAGACTCCAGCAGGGATAGAGAAGGCTCCAAGTGGCCTTTACGTCCAAGGAACACCCTATCTAGTGTCAGACTCCTTGAGCGGAAAAAAAAGTCAAAATCTGGTAAACAATTTTCTCTTGTGTTAAAAGGGCCCAAGGCCCTGAAAGAGATGGTGATTGAACTTAAAATCTGATAGGCTGAATCCCCCAGAGGATTTAAATTCTCTAACTGGAGAGCTTTCGAGAAGCCGCATTGAAAAATGCAACCCTGCAGGAGCTAGGCGCTGCAAGCAGGTGCCCTGAAGACAGGGGGACAGCAAAGTGGGAGACTGTCCCTGTGGCCCAAATACATGCTGTGCCCCTCCTCCTAAAGACAGCCACAAGGATTTCAGCAGAAGGAAACTGAAGCAGAAAAGAGAGGAAGGTGTTCAGCTTGGCAGTGTGAACACACCTCCACTACCATCATTCTACAGCCCAAGAAGTTCTTCCTTGAAGGTTCTGCTTGGGGCACACACTCAAAGTAGGGAGAGCTCAAACTCAATCCCAATCTACTATTGGAGATCCATTGAGCCCAAGATGGTAGGTTACAAGAAATATATATAAAGAAAGGCTGCACTGACCAGGTTGGAGAAAGTTCTGGAGTGGAGAAGGAGCATGGGGAGTAGCTGTCTTGCACGGGAGATGATCAAGAGAGGTAGCAAGAGGGAGAGACCTTTGCTGCTGGCTAAAGAATGTTATTCCTTTTGGTGTTTACTTGAGAGACTACAATGAAGATAACAATGGCTTTTCACTAATTTTTGGTTATCTGACTACTGATTTGGGGGCACAGCTCCCTACTAAAATTGGGCCACGGGGTACGGACAGAAAGCTGATAACCTCTCCACCAAATATCATTCTTTCTTTTGTTCTTACTGCCCAGAATAGACCCATTTCTCAAGCTGACTTCATCTAAGGGAGGCCCAGGGACTAAGTTCTGGCCAATGGAGATACAAAGCATTGTATTGTTCCTGGAAAGTGGCCTACAGGGTGTCCTCCCGCATCTCCTCCTCGCTGGTGGCTGGAATGAGGCTGTAGCCCCGGCAGCTAGCTTGTGTTAGGAAGCAGCACTGAGGATGAAAGCTATTACTAGAAC